CAAAATCATTTGTTATTCTTCTGGCAATTTGCAAGTGCACAAACTGTGGCAAATCCCCACCTTCTCTGGATAAGGCTTGCTGTGTCCTTAATCTATTTCTGGAAACTGAATGCACCATATTTGAATATGGAATTCGACTTTATGTATTCCCAAAATAAAAAGCAATTGGAGGTGAGAATAACGGTGAAATTGCTGGACAAATGTAAAATCCTGCACTTGGGTAGGCATCAGGATGGGATGGGAGACATGCAAAAAGGAACTGAGTATATATTAATTATTAATCTTTCAGGCCATGTGAAAAACTTTTTAGGTTTCTCAAGATTATAAAGTTATATTACATTTTATACACACACAGACACACACACACACATGTATATGTATATGTATATACACACACATACCTACCTACCTACCTACCTACCTACCTACCTACCTACCTACCTACCTACCTAAATACATACATATAAAAATTGTAAAGTTATATAAAGGTTAATCATTTTAACCTTTTTCTGCCTGGTCCTTTGCTTCCCTCTGTTTGTCCATTTGCAACCTTCATCAAGCCTCAGTTCCTAGCATGAATTTAGTTCCGTTTCAGTCATTTCCTGCAAATACATTATTTAATTATATGCTTGTTTTTCAAAACTTACAACAAAAATAACCAATATTCCAAATCTCTCTGGTCTCCCAATCCATTTAAAATTTTCTTAAATCAAAATCCTTTTTTTCCAGTGCTTTTTGCCAATTGAATATTAATTTAAATCTTTGAGATTCTACTTAAAATTACTTAAATCCTAAGAAGGTAAAACTCACTAGGTGTCAGATTAAGCTTGCTATTTTGAAAGTCTCTAATATCCATAAAGTGGTTAAATTGAACATTTCCAAAAGTTATTAGAAAGTGAGTTTGACTGGCTTTGTATCCATGAAGGGCTCCACCACTGCTAAGCACAAAGATGTAATCTTCTTTGACTCTCAGTGCTCAAACCCACAGGAGACCACTGTTCTACAGTTTCCTTACAAGGAGGTGGCATTCAGAGCACTCATGGGTTCTCTTCTCTGGAGAAATGCAAAGAACTGGTCAACTCACTGGTCTTTCATTCTACGCAGCGGTCATCATCTCCACTCATTCACAGAGACATATTCAGTCAGCCATGACTCACACCAGAAGTCAATCAGCTGTAGCATATGAGTAGTCTTCAAGGCAGACCCATATAATGTGCATTACAGTAATCAATTCATCAGGTGACTAGGGCATCAGTGACTGTCTGAAGGGCATCCTGGTGCAGAAAAGGGCACAAGACGTACTTGTGGTCCTCTTGGATACAGCTGCCATCTGCTCTTTGAGCAGTAACTGTAAGTCCAAGATGACCCCAAGTTGTGCAACAGTCTGCAATGGGGAAGGGCAAGCCCATCCAAGGCAGAAATTGAAGCTACCCAGAGTCAGGTGGCCCACATATCTGCTGCTACTCAGTCTTATCAGGATTAAACTTGAATGTGTTCCTCCCCATCCAGGCCTGCACAGCTTCCAGGCACTGAAAATGTCTTCCACAGCATCACTTCTAACAGAGCTATGGACAATTTCCCAGGACTGTGATAGAATGAAGACGGCAAAGTTTTGTGAATGATACCTGCTTTTCCATAACACCTTTGCATTTGGTGTTAGTTAACGCTGACAGATCATAAACCATTCTTCACTTTGCTGTCTTGCTCTCTGCTCCCCCATCTACCTCTCTTCTTAATTCCACCTATCTTAATGTCTTTAATCTAGGACATGGTTAAATGTAGGAGTCTGTATGGAAGTTTCCAGAATGGGAAATTGATACACAAAATGATGGGCTAAAATTAATGTTTGAATCTTGTTGAAAGAAAAACAAATGAAGTAAAATATCATTCATTAGTCTGGGGACTAAATGAAGGAGATCCG